CCTAAAACTTCAAAGAATTTGTTTTCTAATCATGAAAATATTTCTTTAACAGATTTATTTAATTCTACATTACAAGAAAATATTTATAACTTTGATATAAATGAAGATTCTAATGATTCAGATTTTGATTATAATGAATCTAATTATAGTGATTGTTATAAAGATTGGGATAATAAAAATTTAAACTAGAATGGGTTATGGTATGAAGATGAAAGTTGCGATACAAATTTGGAAAGTAAAGTCTCTGATGAAACAGTTCTTACTGATATAGAGGATGTTGATAGTTTTCCAAAAGTATTTGATGGTACGAAAATTGATTTAACATGGAATCAAGAATGTCAATTTGGTATTTTTGACAACTTTACCACTATGGCGATGTTTATATGGGTCACAACACATATGATATATAAGCATTATGTTTAAATTTTAATAACTTTTTTTTATAAATTTTAATTATATATATATATATATATATTTTATTTTTAGCAACGGCAGCTTATCAAGACTTAATTCAAATTATATTACATCCCTAATTTAAAAAAAACCATTTAATTAGCAACTTACAAAAACTTAAAAGATATCGTGAAAGATTACTCTTAATGCAAATTCGAGGTTATAAAGTTCTAATCAATAATCGAAATACACCATCTAAGGCTAAAAACTCTACAAATGCTTATTATTTTTCTATAATTGAATATCTTGAACATATATTAAAAAATTCTGTTATTGGCTCCCAATTATATTTTGGACCTGGTATTTTTTCTGAGTTATGTGAAGAGTTTTGAGAAGGAAATCTCTGGGCAGAATCTCCTCTTTTCGGCCAGACAGATATAATAACTTCACAAGGTATTACTAAAATATAATTACACATGATATATATAAACTTATAATATATATATATTTTTTAGGCTCTTTTAAATATAGCAACTTTGTTCAATACAGTTTTTAAGATATCTTAGAATATGGTCGAATTCAATTATTTATTATTAAAAATAATACAATAAAGGTTCAAATACAAAAATTGCTTCATTATAGCAAAATTCCACAATATTTATACTTAGAAGAACATGTATTACGAGCTTAAAATGAATGGCTTTTAGTAGAAACCCCAAATTCTTATATTATAAAGCCATCTTCTTTAATTCGAAAGGTTGTAGTTTGGCTTAAAGATCAACAACAGCCACTATTTTTTGATTTGTCTATTAGTGAGATCTTATATTATTTTAATGGATATTGGAAAATTCACTCTATTGAACTTCAGAACCAACATTCTGCTAAATATATATCAGTAAATCCACTACTTGATCCATCAATGCCAGTTTTAAATTTTTTTTTAGACTTGTATTATGATGATTTTGGAACTTTTCGCAATACATACCATTCATTAGGTAGTATTTATTTGCAAATCGGTAATATGTCTCGCAAAATAAGAAAACAGCTATGTAATCACTTTGTTATTGGCTTTGTACCTTTTGGTGGAGATATTAGAGATTTTATTAAACCTTTTTTTGAAGAAGTTAAAAAACTTGAACATGGATTTATAATGAATTTAAATGGAGTTGATAATTGGTTAATGGGTAGGTTAGGGGTTTTTACAGCAGATCTACCTCACGGAAATGATATTGCTAGAACATTACATTATAATGCATATCGAGGGTGTTGAGCTTGCAAGGCTCCTAAAGATTAATTTACAGATCTTTCATTTAATATATATTATTACAGTTGATATCACCAAATAACAGATCAAGAATTCCAACTTATAAATCAACAAACTTCAAATAATGCAAAATCTAGACTCAGTTCTCAATATGGATTACAATCTTTACCTGGACCCTTAGATCCAATATTGCATAATCGTCATTTGCATATACCACATGATGCATACCATGCAATTGCTGGAAACACAGCTCGATTACTTGAATGTACTTGTTTAATTCTAACTCAATATGGAGAAAATAATTTAATTAATCATTGGAAAAATATAGAAGTTCCAATACAGTAGTCTCGATTGCCAAATCCAATTACTCATAGACGTTCATTTATGATGTCAGACAATTTAAGAATTCTTATGATTTTTCCATTCATATTACATCATTGTTTAACTATTAATAGCATTAAGGAAGATTATTTAAAATCTATATGTGACAGATTACATTTGTCTCATCGATTAGAAGTAAGAGATTACATTATTTATACTTGGGCACTTTCTGCTAAGGTAGCTAAAGAAGTATTCTTATTAGCTATATGACAGTCAGATGGTTATTCTAACTTACAATCCTTATTAAATGATGAGCTTATTGCTTTAATTAAGGTATATATCATATATTAATTTAATACATAATATTTAATTAATAATAATTATAACTTATTTTATTATTTATAAGCTTTTTCCCAACAGTTTTCAAAATCTTCCTAACCTACATGTGAATCATCATTTAGTAAATTATGTATGCCAATATGCAACATGTGTGAATACAGCAGTTGGCATAAAGGAAATAGTCTATCATATTTTTAAATCAATAGTTCCCCGTACAAACAAGCATAATCTTAAACTTACTTTATTAAAACAAATTAACACTTTACAAACTTTACAATATCTTGTTAATGGTGAAATAGATAATCAAATGCCTTATTATTCTACACAACCTGTTTTTATACTATTAATCACAACACCCCAACTTAGTAATTTATTATCTGGTTGGTGTGTTAATAATTATGGGCTGTCAATACACTCAGATAATATATCTAATCAATTAGACATCGAAGGTAAAATAAATACTTAATATTTTATTTTATTTTATTTTTTTATTAATACTTACAATATTTGTTAGATGACTTAACTATTATTAGCAATTCTGAACTTTTCAATTGCTCAGAAATTAAATTAGAGTTAAAATAAAATAGACATCAAATTGAAGCTGCAGGATTTATCTCTATTAACATCCAAATTAATGGATTACACAAAGATATTATGAATGCATATACATTATACTATTCACTAGATCAAGCTCTATTAGATGTATGAGTTTACTTTTATGAAAATGTGTTATATACAATAATTAAACCTAATGATGATTTTTGTAAAGTAAAGATAAAAGTTGGTGAGATAGTTGAAGCTACACTAGCTGGTGAAAGTGAACAAGTATTTGGCAAAATAGTTAATATAATTAAACACTCATGAAATAATAGTCAAGAATATGTTTTTCTTCATTTCAAATAGTTAAAAAATCTTAACAAAATAGATTTTTTATTAGACTGTCCAATTTATCAAATCCAACATTTAAACAATGATTCTTTAAATCAAATTCACCCACTTTCTGTAGTATTACAATCATCAAACATTCCCTTTATTCACTATTGCAAATCAAAATGCACTTTTCAGCAACATGATATAACTGATTATGAATATATTCGAAATGACTTCTTTTTCAAAGCAATTTAAAAACAAAATCTTAATATGAAACAAGAATAATAAAACTGAAGCAAATATTGAGTTTCTATATTGTATTATAGTTGACATAAAATTAATTTTGAATTGTCATTGTAGTTACTAGGCGACTCTTTAATAAAATGTATTTTAGTCAATTGATTATAAAATAGATTACATCTATTGCAAGTATTCCTTTACAGCATCTATGGCATTTAAGATTTTTATTCACAATTAATTACTAAATATGTCATAATGCAATAGCTATACCTGAGTCTTCTGTTTTTTTCTTATATGAATTGCAACAACTTACATTCGAAAATATTACTATATAAATAATAGAAAATAGGCATTACAAAAATCTAACAATTAGCGAATTTTAAAAATAAGCAAAAACCGGAGAAGTGTAAACATAAATAATAATGACAATTGAACAATTTAGCTATCTAGTAAAACTTAAAATATTTAAGTTTTTTTTTTTTGTAAATAAGTAATCTCTATTTTTAGGCCTTTTTTAACTTTCTAAATACTGTAATAACTTTGAATTGTACCCAATGTGAGCCCCGAAATCAGTCATAGTCTCACGTGACCGATCGTTGAAATTAGGTCCTGCCACCTACCCAAGTAACTGGTCACATGAAAAGTAAGAGAAATCTTACTTTTCTTACTTTTATTACTTTAGTTACTTTGGGTAGAATGACAGAATAGGGGGCATTAGATTTTTGGTTAATATGGTTGGAAAAGGGATTTTAGAGATGAAGTATTGTAAATAGATAATGTAGAGGAAAGAATCCTCAAATGTAAATAAAAGTTTTATTATAAATAAAGGGCTCTCCACCCAGGAGGGGAAGTAACAAGCGATACCCCCAAGTAATACAATTGCTTAAATAAACTTACAGTATCAGACCCATATTGAAAATAAACTATAACCTACCCAAACTAAAACTATCGTTAAAAACACTGTAATAAACTATCGTTCGCCCATTGTAATCCAGTAAACCCGCATCTTTGTTCATTTGCAGTAGATCACGTGACCAAGCCGTTAAATGAAGAGAAGGACTCCAACCTGATTCGACGTATCGTAACCCCAGGTTAAAGAAAGTAAAGGAAGAAGATAAGAGGAAGCAGAGGTTAATAAGAAGAATAGGTTGAAGGAAAAGACTTAGAAGAGAAGAAACGAGTACTTACCTATGAATAAACCACTCTGCCAAATCTAATATGCCTATTTCGACTTAGCCGCCATAGGTTACACAAGGATTGGAAAGAATTAGTGACAGACTCGCCGATTTGCTACGCAACACCAGGTTTTCTTTATTTAAGGTGTTATAGTAGGAGGGTACTATAATCACGATGATCAAAACTAATTCAAATCAACAATTACTGTTTTAAGAAACTTTACTTTAAAAATACAACATTGAAATCTCTCAATCTTAACTTGTATGTTTGTATAGCACAACATTTAAGAACCCTCACAGCAAAAGATAGCAATGTGTCAAAAAAATTTTTTTTTTAAAAATGCAATTTCTTGAAGAATTAGAGTAATATGCATATAATTTTTATAAAATTACAGAATCAAAAATTTTGACTCATTGCCACCTTTTGCTGTTTTATGATCAACCTTCTCTTGCATATTTGTGTAACTCAAAACAGTTAAATATGAATACTGATGATAAATTATTTTTTTTACACTTATTCCTGTATTCAAATAATTTAGGAAAACCTAATTTAGAACAATCTGTTAAAATTATAGTTTCTAACTGAA